GACGAAGTTTCAAGAAAGAAAACGATATCAGTTACGTCCGTACAAGTTCTAAGAAAAACCGTAGAGAAATTCAAAATGCAGTGCAGAAATTATGAATTTCAATTCCTCGTATATTCACTTGCCACATTAAAGTACCAACTTAAAACTGGAAACTGCTGGGTATCTAAAAAAAATCACTAACTTGTAGCCGTCCATCAAGAGTGCGAGCTATGGTTACACATTTGTCTGCTTCTTTTCCTTCACTTCCGCAACAAGCTATTAGCGCATCTAGTTCATCTCTCTTGTCTTTCAGCTTTTTCGTTAATGACTCGATTGCTTTGCGTGAAAACTCCTCATCTGCACTCTGTAAAAACAACAATTTCCACAGATCTAAATTGCTACGATTGGTCGGCAAAAACATAAAAGGCAATATCGATGGGACTCCAAAAAGGTACTAAACCTTATTGAACTGCATGAGATAAGCGACAATAGTTGTACAAGCGTCACTTGCGCAGGGACGTGACAGTGGATGTGAAGATGTTGATGTTCTGTTCTCCGTGTTAGCCCTACCACGGCGACGAGGTTGCTCAGCAGAAGTAGTAGTGGCCGAAGAAGTTGAATCGGAAAAGGGAGAAGCGCCAGGCCTTTCTGCAGCTGCAAAACAGTTGTTGAAGTGTATCACAACGGTTCACTGTCATTGCATGAGATCGGACGTAGCAAAGAGCGATCTTACCCTTTCCTGCACTATTTTCTACACTTGCATAATGAACCTTTAAGCAACCTTATCCCAAAGGAAACAAACTGCGCTCACGATGTTGTTAGGAAGATAAATAATTAATCCTTTGAACGAAAGGAAAGTACTTTAAGTGAGTAAGAACAGCGACAATAAAAGAAAATTACTATCACATATAAAATAATAGTAAAAACCGCATAGAAAGAGTGAAGAGATAAACGCACGCGTTTCAAAACTTGCTGGTGATGGTGTAAGCGGTGGTTGGGATGGAGCTTCTGATGCACTGCGCAATTCTGAAATTAAGTA